AACCTGGACTAGATCAGGACCGTGGCTCCACACAGGATCCACGGTTGGAAACCAGGAACAAACAACTTTCACTTCAGAGAAGGAAAAAGGTCCGCTTTGGTCCAGATGTTCCCCGTTCTCCTTCTAGATGCTGTCCTTCCAGATGTTCTCTGTTCTCCTTCCAGATGTTCTCTGTTCTCCTTCCAGATGTTCTCTGTTCTCCCGCAGATGTTCTCTGTTCTCAGTAATAATACCCAGTGGTATTATCGCCTAGCAACCGTTCCAGCCAATGGTTTGTTTATAACTTTCTTTCTCTTTTTATTTTATTAGTTGTTAGTATTTAGTTTTAATGGGCATAATTATAGTTAAATCATCTGATCACTTCAGGAAAATTATTTTATTATATAATTATAATAGTAGTAGTGTTTTCTAACGGTTAGTTAAAGAGACGCAGCGAATTGTTGTTACTGCAGAGGCACAACCAGTAGGACGAATCAAGCGCACCCCAAAGGAGGCAGTGACCTCACAGCCACTGGAACGGTTGCTAGGCGATCAGACTCCTTCTATCTAAGGCTGTGTTCCAATGTCCGCCCTGATCGCCATATAGTGGCGCCAACATTTTAAATGAGTGTCTGAACGTCTAGTGGATGAAAAAGTAGTGGACTTGAAATTTCCCACAATGCACCTTTATAAGGAACTGATCATCCAGGATCACTAGACGAGCAGATATATCACAGAAAGCTTTGCTCCTGCATGTCCATGGAACGGCAGACAGCAGAGGTCAGGGGTCAAAGGTCATTTCAAGCAGCAAAACCTTCAGCAGGTCTGCACCGGTCTCAGATTTAATGCCACTCCCAAGATGGATGCCGTGTTGTCTCCTTCAGCTGACGGAAGGTACTCACAGCCAAAACGTCCAGAAGACGTGGATCTGAGGAAGACAGAGAAGCTCTAATTGTTCCAAGATGCTGTTTTTATTGGGTTTACTGGTTTTACTGGGATGAATCACTTCTGATGACTCAGATGTTTTCTGCTCTTGGTTTTCTATTAAACGCTTTCAGACACAGAAGAGTCGCCTCTTTATTCCCGCTTTAAGCAAAGTGTTGAAGTTGGTCCTCAGATGGTGGAGGAGGAGCAGACCGACTGATGCTCCTCTGAGACAATCAGCAGGAGTCTGGAGATCCAGACTGAAAGATCTGGACCTCCAGGATCTGGACCTCCAGGACCTGGACCTCCAGGATCTGGACCTCCAGGACCTGGACCTCCAGGATCTGGACCTCCAGGATCTGGATCCTGCTTAAGGCTGCTCGGCGGTGAAGGAGCCGCAGAAGCTAGTTGCCATGGTGATGTCTGCCTCCTGTGGGCAGCAGGGGGCGCCAGCTGCAAAACCAGGAGCCTCAGACAGTCAGAACATGGAGAGAAGCTAAAGGTCCAGAGTATCAGAACCATCTGCATGTTTTCATCTCTGGTTTGTTAAACAGAACCTTCAGGTCCAGTTTCTCCAGAACCAGTCAGAGCTGAAACCACCTCCCATTGGCTCGGCTCTCAGCTCTGGGCTATGATTGGACAGAACCGTCTCAGCACAGGGACGTATTCTGCTGGGTCAGAAAACCGGGTCATGGTCCAGTTCCCCGGGACCCGATCAGAATGTGGTTCTGATCCTGAACCACCAGTAAAAGTTCTGGTTTCATTCGGTTCTGAATGAGAAGAAAAAAAACTCAAATAATTAAGGTTTTCAACTTTTTTATTGTTCATCAAACATTTTATCTAACATCTTTGGTCCGAACCTCCAAGCGGGTCGGGTTCTGGTCGTCTTTGACCAGAACAACAATCTACAGTTGAGCTTTAAACCGGTTGAAACCAGATTGAGAAGATCAGGGTCCAGCTCTACAGCAGGAGGACTGGTTCTGGTTCTGGTTCTGGTCCAGCAGCAGGTTCTCCTTCCACTCGGACAGACCTCCCTGCTGCTCTCCTATGGACTCGTAGACCCTGTGGGCTGAACCGGAACAAACACTGAGACCCACTCAGGTCTGATGGGTGGTGTGTGCTGCCCCCTAGTGGAGGTCCAGAGGAACTCACCCACAGCTGACAGCAGCTGGCTGACCCGCTCCCCGGACAGGGCCGAGGTCTCTGTGAAGGACAGACCTCTGGAACCGGCCAGACCCAGTCCTTCCTGAGGGACCATCAACAACTGTTAGACCAACAGCTCACCTTCACTAAAACACAAACAAACCAGCAGCCTACTGGTTCTGTCCGGCTTCTAGACCAGTTTAGCTCCTCTTTGCAGATGTTCTTCAACCTTTATTTCATTCATAACTAAAGTAGATTATTGGTGTTTTTTTATAGCTGAAGTCACGTGGTTCCACTCTAACAGAACCAAATATGGCCTCAAAGCTGGGATTAGCAGAACCAGGTCCACCTGCTGGGTTCTGATTGGCCGGCAACCTGCTGGATGGCAGGTTATGCCACCTGTACCATCAGCAACAGCAAGCAGAAATGCATACTGAAAAAAAAAAGTAATTATATGTGCATGCGCTGTATATCCTGTATATATCCCATCATGCACCTGTTTCCTCCTTTGACTATTAAGCTGATGGAACGAGGACATTTCAATCAATAAGGCCTATAAGTCAATCAATCAATGATGCTGGAGAAGGGGGCGTGGCTTCAGGCAACTAATCAGAGCCAACCAATGGACAGGCTAGGCTCTCTGATTGGTGGACCTGTTTTCTCCAGGTTCAGACGGCGCCCAGCACCCGATGATGTCATCGACATGGTTTGGCAGCAAGGTTCCCTGAACTGAAGCTGATGATACCCAGCTATATCTGTCTATAATCCAGATGAAGCTAACCCATTACATAGATTACAGGCATGTCTGAAGACAGAAAAAC